CATTAGCACCTCTAGTAATATATTTACTGAGAAAAACGTTGACGTGTTCAGTACTTATTTAACCCGCTGTATTACCAAAAGGGTCAGAATGTTACAGAACAACCAGCCCGAGTTTCACATGCTGTGAACGACAGCATGTGAAACCAACTTCATTTCTTCCACTGGTGGAGGTTCTTGTAAGACATCATGCTTGTCATCAACACACAAAGGGAGGAAGCTGGCATCAGGGAGGAACTGTAGCTGTAAACTCATTTCTGAGAAATAAGGGGTGGCAGAGCATTTTGAGTAAAATGTGCCCAAATATTTATTCATTTAAGTAGCTGATTAGAGAGGAAATGAAACCTAAGTGGTTTTAAGCAGTTTGTATTACTGTGTATTAAGTTTTGGACATAAAAAAACCTCTTAAGCAAAATGGCAGCCAAAACAAATCTGAACAGGGGGATGAAAACACTTGTCAGTCTGAAATAGGACTTGTGCCATCTAGTGGCCTTTTTCAGCAAAGCAACAACCAAGAAACCAATTTTGTTTCGGTGTTTTCTAGATTTTATTAGATTTTCTTGAAGTCCTTTACATTTTAATCAACTGCTTCCAAAAAGCAGATTTATGTATGTTCTGATGGTGGATGATGAACGTTAATGGTTTGTAGAAATGTGGTGAAACACTGTATTAAATAAGCTATTGTTAAATTTTGTTGTAGATGTGATAGCTACYATATAAAGTAAGAAAGTTTAACAAAAATAAGAAAACCTGAATTATATTGGTCAACTGAGAAAGGGGTAGGAAAATACAAGCTTTACTTCAACCTGCTCCTTTTTATACAGATGAAATTATGTATTTATATGTGTACATAATGTACACTGTTTTTCTGTAGCTATACTTTTCTTGTTTTATGACTGTTTTGAAATAAAGTTCTATTCTATTCTATTCTATTCTATTCTATTCCATCCATAGGCTGAATTGAATAAAAGTCTCATAAGTGATCATTAGATTTACATCTACAACTGATTAACTGTTGAAGTTGACACAAATGAATATCACCACTGCCAATGTAGCAAACATTAAAAATAACAACAGTTCAGTCGACTTTATTATTACTGGACAGTCATCTCAAACTTATACTTTAAGAACTACACATTGTGCAAGATCTTTCCCTAAAATGTTGGCAATAATAATTGGAGTTAACACTGTTTGTTTATTTGTTTGTTTGTTTGTTTATTTGTTTGTGAAATATACATAAATCACATTAAATTAAACTCTCWTTAAGTAATTTTTGAAAGTTCATCTTTATTTAGAATTTTTGATTCAATTTAATTCAAGTTTGCTGCCCCCACTAATCAATTAAAGCAAATAAAAAAAGATTATAACTTTGCTAAATATAAAGATGTTTATCTAATATTAGATGTGGTAATAGCTGAGTGTCAACCCCAACGTATACTCAGAGCACTAACTCATCTTGCACTATTGGTTGAGCACAATGGTATTTTCAAATGGCCACAACTTAGTTCTTCTCATCATAAAAAGATCCATTTTATAAACTCTGACATGAGAGATGATGGATGACGTGGAGGAATACCAGGCCTTTTAGTCTGAAAATATAGTTTTCACACATTGAACCACAAAGTTATGCAGCAGGATCCACAAGTTGAGCAAACTGAAAGTGTAAAAAATGTGCCTGTAACCACACAGGAACATTTCGAACATAATTAACCGTCATTTAGTATCAGTGCAACTCTGCAAATCTGCTCTGTGCGCAAAAAGTCATTAATCAGGAGGAAACAAAGCCTCCRTTTATGTTCTCAATATTAGCTGTTGTTGCAGAATTTACTGTAACTATTCACATTAAAGTGATACAGTTTGATCTAAAAGAAAGTTAGAGCAGGATAAGAGCAGGACTGCGATGTGGCTGCTAATGAACTTTTCTTGTGAACAGTAAAAGTTTGACCTGTCAGACGGGTGGAGCATTAATCATGCTTCTTTCCAGTTGATGAGTCATGCACAAAGCTGTGGTGTGTTCACCAGGAAAGCAGACAAACTCCTTCAATATTCTTCAAGAATATTAAATGTTTCTTTTAAGAGAATGACGTCATAAAGCAATATCATTCTTAATTGTCTGCGTGCTGTGAAATTGAGAATCAGAGGGTTATTGTACGTAAACTCTCCAGGATTTTGTCTCTTGCTAATCTTTCCACGTTTATCTTGAACTCATCATTATTCAGCAATACGTTCAGCGGTTCTCCGTCCTTTTTTGTGCATGCTTAAACAAAGTCCCTGTGCACTGCGTAGGCGTGCACACGGAGGTGACTCCCTGCATTGATGGGCCCGGCTGCCACCCTAAACCAGTTCGATGTCATTCCTGCATCAGGCACAGTGCTGAATGCCTCAAGGCCAAACGGCTCGGTGAAAAACTAAAATAAAATGAAATAAAATTCWGGCCCAAGTTTAAAATGTCCTACATTTTGGAGTTGTCAACTCAAAGATGTGTGACAGTGCCATGTTTCTGACTGATTAGGTTGATGTAGGGTGAACAAATCTAAGGTAGATAAATAGAAACAATGCACATTCTGTTTGTGAGTATGAATGCAGATACACGATAATCAAGTCTTCTGCATTGATTTGATGATTTAACGCAGTTCGCTGAGGACACAAACTCACGTAAGATAAGCTCTGAGACACTCCTGCACATTCAGTTATTTACAGGAACAAATCCAGTAAAGTTCTGGTTGTTTTGCAGGTTTCACTGAATAAAAAGACAAGTTGTTTTAGTTTGTATCACAAAGTGTCAGTCAGTCCTGAAATATTGATACTAGAAAAAAAGCAAGTTGCTTCCTTACAAGACTTGCTTCAACTTATCATTTGATTGTATTTTCCATTTATCTGTGTGTGTGTGTGTGTGTGTGTGTGTGTGTGTGTGTGTGTGTGTGTGTGTGTGTGTGTGTGT